TTTATAGCACTGGGAAAGATGAGTCAACAACAGAAGGAAAAAAAATCCAGAGAAAATGGTACTTGGTACATTGGAATGAAGGATAATCTGCAGAAGGTAAACGGTCAGGAGAGATTTTCATCATTTTTAATGTATTTGCAATGACCATGATTTATATTAAAGTTTCTCTTCTCTGAGGCTCAGTTGTCTCAGCTGAAAATGAGCTTCTTGGACAATTGAACTCTAAGATGCCTTCTATGATTCTGTTCTACATTTCTTCATGAGTTCTTATCAGCTACAAAGAACAGTTTCCACTTTTCCATGTATGGTTCAGAGAAGATCCCAAATAATGTTTGATCATCTCTAGTCATATCTTAGAGCTTTCAGTTAATAACTGACTCCACTACCTCAGCACCCATTTTCTAAGATGTTAAGAGGAGTTTAGTGGTGGTGGAGAGAGGAAGAGACTAAGACACTTAGAGACCAAGGGGACCCCTCATTAGCAGTAGAAGCGAATATTGACATATGTTGGCAGAATTCTTTCTCATATGCAAACTCTTCTGTGAATATCCAACTAGAAAATCCATGTAAATGGAATCTTGTCAGATTTAATATTTTAAGCCAGCAACCTATCATTTCCTACTGAGAATTGAAGGATTGGCTAAAACAGAATATTTTAGCCCTATTTGAATGGTTAGCTTAAGTCTCTGCCTAGAAATAATGTGGTAATCAAAATCTTGTCCATTGAAGCCACCTGTTTTTTGAGCTTTAATAGCAGCCTCAGAAATTGAACATTTTATTTTGCCTGCACAAGCGGCATTATACAAGGTGGAAACACAGTGACAGACCTTGTGAATGTGGAGCCTGGAGTTTGGAGAAAGGGGCACTCGGTGTGTTCAGTACAATCCGGTAAGGGAAGTGGTTAAACAGACCCAGAATCACACAACTCAACTTGTGCTCAAGGTCTGGGCCCAATCTTTGAGAGTATCTCTAAGCCAAAGTTTCCCAACATGGTGATAATTCCTGGCACGTGCTGTGAGGTAACACATGGTGTCACAGACTTTCCTGAAGAGTAAGATGATGTCATGGAAGTGCCTTGCAAACTGTAAATCACAGATGTTAAGTGGTTCTGTGGCTGGCTTCATTGTGAGAGGGCTTAGGTGAAGGCACTTTTATACAACAGTAGCAGCATTGCCAAAATAAAATCTCATAAAAGCAGAATAAGTGTTCACAGAGATCTACAAGCATAAATAACACAACAACACACATCAGAGTGTACTGGAATTTAGATGCTAGAGAGGTTATAAGGGGTCAAAGAGGAAAGTTAGCAATAAAGTCAGCCAAGGTACCGTTCTGTATCTATTAAGTTAGATTAATATTTTAAAGGATTGGAACTGTGAGGAATGAACTAATTAATATCATTTTGGGAAATAGAAATGTAGAAAACATAAGTACATTGGAAAGTGTTGAACATTTTAAATGGCTGAAATTCTAAATGCTTAGCTACATATTTATACAAATTGCCATAAACATTACTTTCAATTGTGGTAGAAATTACCTTAGAACATTTTAGTGTCTTTTTTGTACCTTGAATAACTATCTTAAGCACTTGAATAGAGGTCAGGTAATACATTAGCTCATCTCATTGGTGGACTTTACTGGTCAAGTATCTTAGATAGTATTAAGGAAAGAACCCCAGATGGACTTTGTGGCAGGGTTTCTTGGTGCTATTGACGTTATGGACCATGTAACTTTCTGCGGTGGGGAGTGGCCTGTGCACTGTACAGTGTTTAGCAGCATCCCTAGTCTCTACTCACTAGATACCAGTTGTACCTCTCAGTTGTGACAACCATAAATATTTCTAGATATTGACAAATGTCCTCTGGAGGGAAAAAATCATCCTCGTTTGAGAATTACTCCTGTGCAGTGACAACTTTCAGTTTTCATTACTCAGAATTCCAAAATTTCTATGTTATTAAAATGAGTCAGAGATATTATATTATGAAGAATAAATGTGTATACATTTAAATGCTTTGTGTTGCTGACATTTTGCATCTTTTACCAACTGTCTTTTTTTTTGGTCATGAAGGTGCACTATTCTCTCTATGGTTAGACAAGGTACTTCTGAGGGATTAGGTTGCTTGTCTTTTTGTCTTCTATCTCTGCAGCCTTTTACATTTTCATCTACCTTCTGTATTTCATTATATGTTCTCAGGTGACTCCCAAAGTAGATAGAAATTGTGGATGCTCGTGAGATAGCCATGCTTGGCTGTCTCACCAGCACTTTGAAATGATTATGTCCCTCCCAAATTAATCCACATCCACATCTGCATCTACCTCTGACTTCCTCTGTTTTTTCTCCCTCTGTCGATGGACTGATTGATTAATTGATTGTTGTTGCTAGCTCACTGTCTTCTATATACCCAGGTACTTCTAAGGGTCAGCTTCATTTACTTCTTTGCCTTCTCTGCTAATCAATTTCCAAGGCTTATTATTTCTAAGTCTACAGCCTCTCCCCTAATTATCCATTTCAACCAACACTCTCTCTAAGAAATGCTACTCCCCACTTCAGCTTTTTCTGAGACAACTATTATTATCTTCCACCTTCCCTTCCTGCCTCTGGTCTTTTTATATAAGGTATACTTTGTTTGGTTACATTAATATCCCTGAAGCATTCCCATCCCAACAAATTCTTTAGCCTTCTAGAAACTAACTCTAACTTACTTCTTCAATCCTATTTCTTACCACTGGAACTAAAAACAATTTATCTGTATCCTGCACTTCTTTAGGACTTCGTTTCTTAATTTCTTCAAATACTGCCATTTGCTTTAAATTGGATTTTTGTGTGTGTGTGTTTGATCATTTAGACTAACACTTGAAAAAGAAACACACATCCTCTTTAATGTTCAAAGTATATACAGGAACCTGAGAATCTAGAACTTAAGTAATCTAAAGTTACTTTAAAGATTATTTTAGAGAACTACAATATGCAGATGGTTATAAAATACTTTACGTGGAATTCATGCATCCCTGTTGTTGATACTGTTTATTTTGCTTCTTGGAATTTAACATACAGCAGGCCTTCTTTACCTCCTCATCTTATGGTGGGACATGAATATGTATATGTAGTTTCCATATTTAAAAAATGTGCATAAGTCTTAATCTGCATTCCACTTCAATGGGTCTTAAAAATACTTGCTTAAGAGAGGCTTACTGTACAAAGGTCAAATATGGTGATAACATAGAGAATGAGAGAGACATGATTATTTAGTGGCACTTATTGCCACAGGCATTGGTCCATTTATTGGAGGACTGTGAGCACGTATTGAACTTGTTGTTTGCTATCAAGAATGCTGAAGCAGTTCCATGGGAGAAGGTCTTGGCTTGAGCCCAGGTTGATAGTAAATGTAGGCCATTACTAGTTGATGTCTGTTCGATGGTCTGTATGAAATGAGTTGGTGGTCTCAGTCCAGTTATTAGAAGACAGGTGTCTACATCTCAAAACATCATGACAATCGGCGCTAATTGGCATGTTTGTTGGAAGTCTCAGCAGAGAAGCAGAGGGATAAATGGGGGAAAAGGAGAAGCTGTTGTTACCTAAGATAAAGAAGTCTTTGAGGATGTAAGCGGTAAATAATTACCTACTGCTCAAAGAACAGTATTTTCAGGAGATCTAGACATTTCTAACATTGAAAGGACTTTTTTCAGTTATTTGTCCATCATCTCTCTCTTATCTTCCTTGCATTTTAGAACTGAACATTTGGTCCCACTTTCTCCTTTCTTATCTTAGGGAACATGTTCTGGGATGCAGAACCTCTGCTTGGGTAGCCACCATATTCTTTTATCAGTTGAACCTCAGACTTCATTTTCCTGGTTTTCTCCCAGTATTTATGATTCCTCAGTTTTCATGCACATACAGAGCTGAATATATTGGTTCAATTGCTACCTGTTAATGAATTTTTCTTCTCTTCTGTACTTTACTTGGTGACTAGAATACACGTTTCTTATACTCTGCTGTCTCCCATACTGTTCTGAGGTCTCTGAGATAGGGCCCTTGCTTGATTCACTTTAGCATTCCTGTAGTGCACACATCAGGTACTCAATAAATGAATGAAAGAAAAAAATGAATAAATGAATGAATGCATTTTTAGCCTCTTAGAGACATATAACCACATCTAGAAGTGAAGGAAGAAGTAAATATGAAAGAGACAGGGTCTAAGAGACAGTGGCAGGAAGTCATCATTCTATTCTTCTTGGTGCCTTTGACATTCTCCCACTCTCATTTTGACTGATTGCTTAGTGTTCTAATCTATGCAAGCCATCTTATACAATTGCTTTGTAATCGGCATAATTCAGCTTTCTAGCTGAGGAGCCTGCTCCGATATGTGTCTATAAGGAGGATTCCGTTTTCTCTGTTAGAGTTTATAATTTCACCACTGCTATATCCAGTGTTTTACATTTCATGTGAAATAATAATTTAATGAATGTGATTTTGATGATTTTAGCCAATAAAATTATTTAACACAAAGGGGAGAATTTCATAAATATGAGAAACCGGGACTACATTTTGGTACTGCAAGTAAATATATTAGAACTGTTTTGCTCATGTGTATTAGAACTGGTTGAATGTTTCTGACTGTTTTGCTATTTTTAAAATATAATTTGTTATTAAAATGTGAAATAGTACTATTTTTAAACCTATAAACTAAAAATAGCTTTCAAAATGTTTCAAAAAGAGGGGTTTGATTCTTATTTTGATTATTTAGTTGAATAGATCACCAATAGTTAGTATAGGATATTAAATGGTGAATATAAATTAGTATATGTTGATAAAATATGTGATGAAGCACATAAACAATAAAATCTTTTAATTATGAAATTATTTGTTATAATTTTTGACTAGTAAAATGCTTTCCCTTTTTCTGTATCTACATGTGAACTTTGACTAGAGTATTTCCCTTTTTGTGAGAAAAAATGTATCACATGAACACTGATTAGAAACAACTTCACAAGTGCGAAAATTTTAATATCAAGACATGTTTCTTGAGTTCAACATTACTCATTTGTTTTGAACATTAGACTGCCAAATAAACAGAAAATCTTTACAAATCCTTTTAGTATTAGAACCAAATAACCCTGGTATTAGTTGTCAGGAGTATGCTGTGTCTTGGTGGGAATCACCGTTGCAGAGGATTTATATAAGGGAGGGCAAAACAAGATCCTCAGGTTTGTGACATAGGATCATGCACACTGGAAATCAAGAGAAATCAATTCAGATATTGCAATCTTCAATAGCAAAACAAGAAAACACAGAGCTACCACTGCACTTATTTATTCTTTAATCTCATAGGTAGTTTAAAATATCATGAATTGTTTAAGTATGAACTAAATGATACATATTAGGTGGGATTATTACCAATATTACAGCTTAGGGCAGCATTCATGTGTGTATTAGTGCTCTTAGGTAATTCAGACCAGTTTCAAGCAGTCAGTTTCTGTTAAGCACTTACCAAAAATTATTTTCAGGAAAGCAAATGACATTTCAAACTCAACAGAGAATTTCTATTAACAAGAAGCAATTTCTGAGCTGATCAATGTGGATTGACTATCTGAGGCATGTCAGTATGTTATGCTTTCATGCCTCTTGTTATCATCACTGGAAAACTCTTTGGATTTATATTCTTGATGCTCATTGCAACAGTCTCTAGAAAGTATAGCTTATAGAGTGTTTTTAAATTTCATCTTTTAATTCAGTTTACGGGCCCTCACCTTTAAAGTTTTTACATTCGCTTAAGACATATTTGTGCTCACCTTTCTTTCTGATAGAGTTGTAATTAGTCCTGGGGAGCAGTTGTTTCCAATTAACCAGGAGGAGAAAATCACAACTGAAGTTTTATAACAAATCATTAGGCATTCTGATATCAGACCAGTGTATTATGAATTTCTGTGATAAAAATCTGTTACATATATTTAAAAACAAATTTCCCATTCTCATTTATTTATGCTCATTACATTTTTGTACTTACTGGCATTTCCTGAGAAGATAAATATTTTGGTGTTTTTGAGCGTCCCAAAGGGATAGAATTTCTACTATGTACATACATACCATTTTTCTGTCACTCATTTTATGTCACAAAAACAATAAAATGCAAAATACTCATTCTAACACTGTGGCTTGCACTGAATTGTCACAGCATTAATTTATTTTAAGGTAACACATTTTTAAATAAAGGAAATCCAAGTCTTTTATTTTTTAACCAAAGACAAGATAACTATTTTAATGAAACAATCATGTTGCAGTTTTGAATAGTGGTGATCTCTGCCTCTGTTACTTTTTTCTTAAATAGATGTATTACAATTATAAAAGTTCTGGTTCCTAACATCTAGAATTAAAATACTTAATTTTTTTTGTGTGATTCTCTTTCTCTATGTCAAATAGTTCATTGTAGATACCAGTAAATATATCTAAGTAGTAAAAATGTGCTAAAACTTACTGGTAATCATAAACTCTTTAAAGAAGAGAAAAATGAAAACCGCCATTTAATAGCTTTTGATAAGATACTGCAGCATATAAGGAGATAGACTGTAGATAATTTTTGTATATTTTAAACACGCACACACAGATGTAGACAATATACATATGTTGTGTAGCTCACATTGATACTAATGGAACTTACGTGAGCATACCCAGGTCTAAAAGGTGGGCTCTGAGGGCTTTAAAAAAATTCTGCTAAAGTTAAGAAAGGAAGCTAATGTTTCCCTGATTTTAGAAGTCAGGTCTGACTTTTACAGTGCAAAAAGCCAGCATCATGTAATGAAAATATATCATCAATAGGTAAATTTGATCAATAGGTATGTATTTTTTGTGTTCAGACTTCAGGTAAAAACCGAACAACCTTTAGTTGAGGAAGATTGGTGAATACTGTAATTTTTGTAGGACATCATTAACTAGGTTAAATTATTCCTTTGCTATTTGGGAACTAGATACATTTCTGTAGAGCCCTTCATTAAGTGTGTGTTTGTGTGTTCTGGGGAAGGGGGTGAAAAATAGAGTGGCAGGAGTTGTAAATCAGCAGTTTGTGCAATATGCCTACATGGTGAAAAAATTTATGTACAATATTATACTGTTGTTTTTCAGATATATATATATATATTCCCTCCACATGCAGCAAAAAAGTTTTCTTGATGTCTAATCAAGCAATGGGGTTTCTTCAGATTGGAAGAACTCAGAAAGTTGGTTTTTTTATTCTCCTTCATTTAAGTATTATTTTTTAATTGCAGCATATTAAACATAAAATCTGGTACAATCTTTAAAAATAAATAGGACCTAACTATAAATGGGCCCTGTTGTGTTTTTATCTTTGACAAGCAAGTAATTGCTTCTCAAATTTATCAGTTTGTTTATGCAAAAACCATTTACCAAGCCTAGCTCAAAAGCATCAATTTCATCATTATCATCTTATTAATTTAGCCAAGCTATAACACAGCTGATTATTCCTGAGTAATATCCTCTGCAGCACATCATGTGTGGCAAAACCATCTGTACAGTACCTATTTAATAAATAAACCCTCGGCTAAATGTCTCTGTTTATTGAGAACTAATGTTTATAGAAAATATAATGGAACTCAATAAATAACTCAGCTTCATCAACCTGCATATGAATCAGTGCGAAGAACGCTGACATCATCACCTTTCAAGTACCAGAGAAAGCAAAATTACCCAAAAGAGCTATAGAGTCAATATTAAGGCATTAAAACTGCAATGAAGGCATATTAATGCTTAAAACTTCATTGTTGGCAGTGGAATTGGCACAATGGACATATTTTATAACTCTAGGAATACTTAGGCTTTATGGCTGCTTCTTTGTTGACTGCCTTGCACTTAATGTAGTTTTCCACTTTAAATAAAAAAAACCCTCAAGATCTTTAAAAAAAAAACAAGAAAATTGCTGATCCTAAGCATTCATTTTTAAAATAATGCAAACTGCTGATTCCAATGTTCAGATTTAAGAAAAAAAAAGCCAACTTCTTTAACTCCATGCTTCCTGAATTCATATTAGTAGCAACTAGATATTGTGTGGCAAAGGCCTTTTAAAAAGTCACAAGTATTTTTTTAAGAGATTATTCTGAGTAATATCATTAGTACTGAGAATGTGAGAATGATTTAGTCATTTTGCAAAGAAAAGCCAGCTTAGGATTGAACCATTAGTAATATTCATGCCCAATATAAAAAAGGGCACAATTATTTAACATATACACATTGATTCTCATCACCACACTATTTTAAACATTTGCATTAATAACCTGAATTTTTAAGCTAGTATGAATCCAATAAAGCAAAGTTTTGAAATAATGAAAATGGATCCATTGCTTACAACCTGTTTCAAAAATCTATCTGTCCTCACTTTACTTTCCAGAAATAAGAGAAACAAAATTTGTTCTTATTCAAATCCAAAGAATGGACCTTATTGATGTTTGAAAGCAACTCTATTTTCGTGCCTCAGTACGGCCCAATTTCACCTGGAAGCATACTTGGCATGTAGTTTAAACTCTTCCCTTCTTCCATTGCCCACAGAACATCAAACTTTCACTGAGGCCCTGTCCTGATATAATTTAAACAGGAAAATAGGAGGTGCTGACCTGTTGCTAGGGACATGTGGGCTCATTCTCCAGGCCTGTTTGCTACTTCTACTCATGCAGCTCTGAAATCCACCTGGTTCACTTTTTTCTAGGTGAAAATGGATATGTTCACACTTTGAAGACATTTTTGTAAGGCCACAAGATCTTTGTAAAGCTACAATCAGGGAGAAGAGTTGGGGATATACCTTTCAAATGTCAATCTGAAGGCAGGGTGTTGTTTTTGTTGCCTTTCAAAAACTTATTACAATGTCTCATGAGAGAAAGGGGCAAAGTGTGATAAACCTAGAGGGGATAGGTCCTGTGATCTGTAGACATCAGCCTTTTTGCCTAGATGCTGGATTCATTATGCTAGATGTACAGTTGTGGGGTGTGTGTGTCTATGTGTGTGTTTCAATTTATGCAATGGGCTCTGTGGTTTGTGCAGAGACTACCCATTCCCCAACCCTAGGAGGGGTTAAAGGGTAATCCTAACAGAAAATTCATATCTCCTAAATTAGGCAAATGTCTCAAACAAAATGAATACCACATCAAAATAGCAGAAAGATAGTGAAATGGTGCCAGTAATTGCCTCTTGGGGCAACTCAGCTTAAACAACTTAAAGCTTGCAAACGCTGCACCCACACTACCCAGAAGAACACTTTTGTCCAAGGGTTTAAATTGCAAGCTAGGAAGCCAACAACTCTAAAACCCCTGCTTGGGAGCCAGAGCACACAGTGTGCCTTTGACATATGTCTATAAGAAAACCTGTGTTTGGCATGTCAGCAGTTTTGAATAGCTCGGGTTTGGTGACCAAAGTCAACATCCCACATATTTTGTCACAATCAGACCCAGATCAGCAAAAAGGCTGTTGGATTGACCAAGTGGGTACATCTACTTAAGAGGACCTGTGGTTTAAAAGAGCAGAAAGAAAAGAAAAGGCAGCCAATGCTCTGCATGCTGTCAAGTGGCCTATGCCCAGAGGACTCCTGAGATTAAGCAAAGTAAATTTTTATCTATTTGTTTTGAGTGTAATTCTGTGTCTAGCCTCCCATGGTGTAATCCATAAAGTCATTTTCATCCCATTTTAAGAAATCAATTTTAGATATTTCTGATGAGAGGTGATGTCAGACCTTACCAATTTGAGGCAAGAAATCAAAATACCAATTCCAGTCATCCACCCTGACATGAGTAACAGGGAGGCAGGTGCATCTCTGCGTATGTGGAAGATAGAGAGTATGCCTCCCATAAAATATGAGTGTTTTGGACATACTTGAATCCGTTGGCCTAACATAGCTCATAAATCCACCTTGGTCTAGTCCTCAGGACTCGTTAAGGGAGTAGTCATTTAGCTTATATCTGCTAAGAATTAATACTAGGAACTACTGAATGTGACAGACCACATTTCAAAATTATAATCACGAAGTTCTAGCTGCAAAGATGGGCCTTTCCTATAGGCTGGCCATATTCTTGGAGAAATCTAGGAATTGGTAAATCTGATGTATATCTGTGGAAAATTCCTGGCTGAATAAAGGAGAAAAATTATGAAGTAGGTGGCACATTTTTGACTTTCTTGCATTCTATGGTGGTAGCAACTTTATAAAGAATAGAAAAATCTGTAGTTTCAAAGGCAACATTGCAATAAATACCAATAAGAAGATGGTAATATAATTGGTTGATTTAAGGCACAGTAAAATATATTTATCTGTTCATTCATCTAATCATGCAAGAATATTTATCAGGTGCCTACATTGTGCTAGGCAATGGGCTACTATAGTGAACATAAAGAGATACTGTCCTAGTTTCACAGATGGCGCGATCTGGTGAGGAATTGAAAGGTTATAGAAATAAATGCAAAATTCAACTGTGAGAAAGAATATGAGGAACAGATGCAAGATGGAGGTGTTGAGAACATTTCCAGCAAAGAAAATAGCCCCTTAAAACAACCATGGTGGTAAAGGAGTCCATGGTACATGCAGAGAACTGAAAGAATAGTGTGAATGAATAGCAAGAGAAATCTGGGTGCAACGTGAACCTGGAAAATGTCGTAGGGTTTGATGCTAAGAGTTTTGGTCTTTACAGCAATGTTATATTAATCCATATTATTCACCAGAGAACTTATTACTGAGTCCCATGGCAGAAAATATTTGCCATTAGCTGGTACTAAAATACTATTCTCTTCAACTGATGTTTTATTGAACAGCTACCCCATGCAAGGAATGAACATTATTAATATAGTGGTGATGCACATAGGCATGGTCCATGCTGTCATGAAACTTGCATTCTGAGATAACTTTTTTTTAAGTCACAGGGTCTCACTCTGTTGTCCAGGCTGGAGTGCAGTGATATGATCATAGCTCACTGCACCCTCAAACTCCTGGGTTCAAGTAACCCTCCTGCTTGAGCCTCCTAAGTAGCTAGGACTATATTCATGTGCCACCACACCTCTCTAATTATTTTTTTTGGTAGAGATGGTGACTCACTATGTTGCCCAGGCTGGGTTCGAACTCCTGGCCTTAAGTGATCCTCCCACCTCAGCATCCCAAAGTGCTGGGATTACAGGCATGAGCTACTGTGCCCTGCCAGAAAAGATAAACTTCGACTACAGGTGTAACAAGTGTTAAAAAGAGAGAATGCAGGGTTTATGACAGGGGAGTCATTTTGATGATGTGAGTTGGGGATGACACCCTACAGAAGTGATTTAAGCTGTTGTGTGAAAGATGTAAGATGTCCACTATCAACAGTGAGAAAGTGGTAGGAGGTAAAGAGAAAGAACAAAGGGCTTCAAGCCTTAGTGACTATTTATAGCTAAATAGTGAAAATCAATATGATTTTGTTACATGCTGGACGTGGCAGTTGCCTTTTTGACATTTTTTCCTGTGAACCTTCAGGAATACATGAGTTTTAAGGAGTGAGGACGTCTTTGTGAAATATCTCATCACAATACACACGGTTAAACCTGGATCAGGTCCCTCAAGCACACTGCAGTCAATGGCCACTCTCGCTTTTCAGCCGGGTTCTGTGGTAGGTATGAATATGAAGGCCTGAGACCGTGATCTTTTTTGACAAGCCATTTTTTTTTGTTGAGACATTTTATTTGGTCCTGGGATCCCAACTAAATCCATGTGCATTCTGCCTCTGGGGTCAGGAGGATTTAAGCTGAGGATGTAATGAGGCAGATAACTGTGACTACCTCTCATTTACTCCTTTCCTCTTATTTCTCTTTTGGGGATTTTCATATGAAAATACATAAGCTATTTTTCTTCCATTATCCTCCTGAGGAAAGGAGGAAATGGAATGAGTTGGAAATCTTGAGCTGAAGCAGAGAGAATTGTAAACTGTGCTGAGATGGTACTCTCTGGTTTACAGACTTCCGAAGGTTTCTAGTTCTCATCACTGTTCTGACACAGAATATGTAGCTCTGACGCTTTCCATAAACTCTGTTCCTCCTGGGTTCAGCTCTTTTGTACCAGAGCTTAGACTAAAAACAATAGCTGTAGAAGGAGGTATTGGAATAACTGGAAATCAATCAAATTGATTGATCAGAATCCTGAGCACTCTGTGTCTGCATGGCTCAGTCACTACTGTACACATCGTAGGAGTGTGTCTTGTGGTCCACATCCTCCTTTGAAAGGGAGTAACGGCACTTCACATGTGTACATGTTTATGGCCTAGCATGTCCCACTGTCCTAGGCCTTTGTCTTAACCCATGACATCCATGGTTTCTGCTTTCTGCTAGTTGACTGAAAAGAGATGGTCATATCAATGCATATAGTAAATTGACTGTGGCCCAGGTAATCAGAAGTCTTGAAAAAAATAACTTTAAGAAAAAGACATATTTTATACAACTTTTTTTTTTTTATTCAAGGCTTCTTAGTTTAGTGAATACTACTTGCTACTTTTAAGAGTTTTCCATTTCATACAACTGTTCACACTGCTGAACTGAGTGACATGGGTGCCACTTTTCTTGTGGAAAGGAAAAATAAGATGTACCAATATTTTCTGACATTTTTGATAAAATGTACAACGTAGTTTAGTCCAAGAAGGCATTTCCTACTTAATGCATTTTAAAATACTTGTGTTTATTTTTACCTCTTTCCTATAAATCTGTAGTCATTCCGGCAAGCTAAGTAATAGGCTTCCTAGTGGTTACTGCTCATTAAAAGGGAAACACAGGTTTGACTTGAGGGAGAGGGCTTAGGTGAGAAGAGCCATTTCTTATACAGTGATGGTTTTCACACAGTATGGTGATAAAAGCTCAATGGAACTACCCTGGGTCATTCCTTCATCATCTTTCGGTGTCATTTTTGTTTCTTCATTTGCTGATAAAGTGTATTTTCTAATGCCAAAGACGGATTACTCCTGCTATACCTGAACTGAAAATATAAGGGATGTATCAGGTGCTGTTGTTTCACCATCAGCTTAAGCCAAAATAAGATAAGTATTTAAAATAATTCATGTAAAGAAAGTCGAACTTTGTTAGCGTCTCTGTGATTTAGAATTCCAATGAGGAAAAGAGCTGCCAGGTATAGAGTTGATATTACTTTTTAATAGCATCTGCAAAATTTTCATTTGTTTGTCCTTCATGTGTAAGAAAATATCAAGAACATGCCTTACTTGTAGGATAAATCTCACCTACTTTTTTTTTTTGGTAATTTTGGCTTGCTTATTTGGAATGCAACTGAGTCTAGATAGTATAGTTATACTAATGTGAGCAGTTTGGTTTTGAAAAAAGTCATTAGAGAATGGTCACCAATTAGTTGGTCAGAATGTTCTCAGGGTGATACAGTAAGTGCTGACCGTAGTTAACTTCATTAGCTGACAAACCATGAAACCTCTTGGCCATCTAGTCCTGTAGATATAGTATTAAACTAAAGACCACTAATGCATGTATCTGAGAACTATGGGAAAGCTTTTGTTGACTAAAGGAAAGTTTACAGCACAGTCAAGAGGTCACCAGTGAAATTATTACTTCATCCATTAAGTTATATGTTTTTATTAGGTAAATACTTTGTAAAAATCTCTCTGGTTAGTGCTAAGGAAATCTCCAAGTTAATGTTAACAAATTCACCAAGTTAATGATTTTCAACCATATTATACCCAATTATCCATTACAAAAATATTTTTATGATGCCCAATATAGTAATCTTGAATGAAATTAACAGATAATACTTACTTGTGCACATCATTGAAAGATCTGTGATGTTGTAACTGGAAAATATAGGAAATATAAAAGGTAAGTATATGATGAGATACTATGTATGTAATCTGTAAGTGCTCTGACACTACCAGTAGATGGAAATACACACTGTAAGTCTAAATTGCCACTTAGGTGTACAATTATCCCTCCTGAGAACCATTCCAGGAATCAAGGAGTTTCCAATGGTCCGGAAATATGTCTATTTTATTCTTGTTATACATCAGTTCCAAACATGGTATTTGGCATGAAGTAAGTGCTCAATAAACTCTTATACAATGAATGTTGAATGAGCACAAGAAACAAAACAAAACTTTCTTCTGCTAGAATTTATCTTCTGGTTAGAATGTCAGGTCAGTTCAGTAACACACAAAACGAGAGTTCCTTGGTTCTCATGCATCCCAAACTGGGTGCGTGGTGAATGCCGTGGAGAACTTGAGGATACAGGCATCCACCTTGAGCAGCTGTGAGCTGAGAAGGACTGCTGTGGTCTCAGGTCATCCCAGCAGCGAGCCAGATATGCACCTCAACCGCACTCTGCTCAGTGCACTTCCGGGCCTGGGGCAGGTCCAGATGCAGGGGACAGACGAGTTAATAAGGCCCTGTGCTCCTGAAACTATAATTTGAGGGTGTTTCCAACCTAAGAATGTGTCAGAAGCCCTTCAGGGATGGTTAAATGCATATTCTCAGGCCCCACTTCAGAGATTCTTATCTGCATTTTAACAAATTTCAGAGATAAATTTTGATGTAAGTGGTTCATGAGCCTCACTTTAAGAGACATCAAATGAGGTGGGCAATACACCCAAAATGTGCTCATTGTGAGAATTTTCAATATTTGGGAAATGAATGGCAACCATGGATGAATGTTGAGAATTCTTTTGAAAGGAAGTTTCTTACATTCATTTAATACATCAGGTGAATGCAAAAGATGAGAGCGTATGTTTTTAAGACTTCATTTATAAGACTGATGCTGTTTGTAAGACATGATTGTTTTAGTATTCATGTGGTAGTAAAAATGGTCTTGATTATAGGGGGTGCAATTGTATTTGTTTTTCTTTTGTTAGTATTACAGATGGAAAGGTAAATGAAAATACACTGAGAAGTATAAAATGGTGTAATAAGACAGCTTTTAAGGTTTCTGATGTCTTGTAACACCATCTTATACTGAGATGATCTCTAGGATAAATAATCTCCTTAGGTTAATATTTTATTTTTATGTACCTTGTATCTTTTATGTACCTTGTCTGAAGTTTTTAACTAATTAAACTGTATGTCTTAAAAACATACACAAGTTTATTGTCCACCTCATCTTTTGGATTTATAAAATGAATGTAAAAAATTTCCTTTCAAAAGAATTCTCAACATTCACCCATGGTTGCCATTCATTCCCAAAATACTGAAAATTCTTATAAAGAAAACATTTTAAGTTTTTAACTATAATCAAGTTTTAAACTATAACGAAAATCAGAGTATATCTCATGATACATATTTTTTTAGTAGCATATATCTGATGATATTTTTAATATATGTAGCTACCTTAGTTACAGAGAAACTTACATACCAAAGACTAATACAGGTTTTTTGACTGTGTATGTTTGAATTCATTTTTAAAAAGATAATTGAGTGAAAGCAGAATAAAAGACTTTCCAAGTTTTATTATGTATATTTAATAGCTCAACATAAGGGGGTGAATGGACAGTTACTCTGTAGATGAAGAGCCATAGCTGTGGATAATTCCATTAAATCTTCCTCTAGGCAAGGGAACCCACCCCCACTGATGCCTCCACATACACCCATGCCTCATTTTCATGAAAACAAATCAACCAGTCAACCAAAATAATACTAATTTTGAATTATCGATTATTAGCATTAGTTACAACCATATTCAAATTAATCACAAATTCGCAAAAAGCAATCAATTCATAGGTCAATTAATAGCTTTGTCTACATGATGTTAAACAAGGGTTTTATTAATATTTCTGAACAGAATGTTTTCTTTTTTTAAAAAAAGACTAATTTCAGTGCTATGAATACCTAGCTTTTTAGAAACAAAATAATTTACAGCGCCACAAAGATGATAGTTTTCTTCTTTGAAAATTAGTAATTCTTTTAGCACATATAAAGTAAACAGAATGATTGAGAAAACAAATGTTCAGTTTGTTGTCTTAAGCTTACAAATGATAAGAAGGTTGTCTTTTTATTATTTGGAGGTTACCTATTTATTCCTTATCTTAATAACCTTAGTCCTATAAGTTGTTAAGATAAACAGAGAGCTAGATGAATCTTAAATGGGATACATATTTACAGAAAGTTTTCTAAAATTTTCTTTCTATGGGGGAAATCTTTCTGCTTAGATGTGCTATTTTGTCGTTGTAAATTCAGTTGGGTAGAGAGTATTCTTAACAACTCCTGATTTGTCCATTTGTTCAATTTGATTTCCTTATTTTTTATTTTATATATGACCACTGAAAAAATACAAAACAAAAATTTGGTTTAATTTTCATTTAGACCTTTTCCAAGGAGACTCAGTAATGCAAATGAGCAAAGGTCACATTTTAAAAGAAACTTCCTCTTTCTTAATGTATTCTCAGAGTGTTGCCAACATTTATAAAGATGACCCAGCCCATGTTATATTCAAATAGAAAAATGATTATAAACATCAACATGTGTAGATTTCCATGGACTTCCTGATGTTCACAGGATGTGTAATACTGAAGAAATGAGACGCTGTTACACACATACAGGCACGCACAAATGACTGACGCAGAGCAGAGTCACGAGCAGTGGACAGCTGTGTATGGGACTGACTCAAACGAAACTGATAAAGTGAAGGTGTGTGAAGGCTATGCCTGGTGAGATCGACCCGTAGTTACACCAGATACAATAACAGGACACAGGCAAAGGTCCCTTCTGCCTCGTGTTGCAGTGAGAGTCCAAGGAAGTTTGGCAAGTAGACCCTGAAGTCCTGTCCAGATAATCCAAAATCATCGCCCATGGAGCTTAATTCTGAATTTCCGCCCCAGACGAAACTCCGATTAAATTCAATGAGTGTTTCTCATTTTAGAAAGTTGTGCATGTGCATGCCATATTCTTTTCTTAGATAAAAACATACCCACAGCTCCTTCCATACAAAACGAAACCAAACACATTTAGAACACATGTAAGCCATTTCTCTATGGAAAGGGCCATTTGTGGTTAACACAGAAAGTATTTATGGTTTCACTGTTAATTGTGGTTTCTTTGTATTAGCCAAAAAAGGTAGCATTTTTCATGTTAGAAACAGTATGAAAGCAATAGCCTTTCTAAAAAATATCTGCATTTTTCTGGGGCACAAGGAGGTAAATGAATTTATGATATCTTCTAAATACCAAAGGAGTATATGTGACATAAAATTGTGTTTTCAATTTGAATAAAAGTTTATTCAGAATTGTCTTAACTGTACTTTTGTACATTTCCACAAGACAAGACTGTGTAATTAACATTGTATAATATTTAAGCCTTGGGCACATTTGATTTTTTATTCATATTTGTTATCTAAGAATAATAATGTTGATCTCTGAATCAATGCTATTCTTGTAAATTAATTCCTTTCTTTTGAAAATTATTAATTTTACAATGTGCACATTTATAAATGTTGATTCATTTACTTAAATCTGTTGGCTGACTTGCCTAATTCCTTCCCTCTGTCTTCCTCTTTCTCCCCTTTTTCTTTCTTCTTTCTTTCTCTTCTTCCCTCCCCTTCTCCCTCCCCTTCTCCCTCCCTCCCTCCCTCCCTCCCTCCCTCCCTCCCTCCCTCCCTCCCTCCCTCCCTCCCTCCTTCCTTCCTTCCTTCCTTCCTTCCTTCCTTCCTTCCTTCCTTCCTTCCTTCCTTCCATTCTTCCTTCTTTCCTCCTTTATGGATTAAAAATTGAAGAATCATTATATTATTGAAATGTTTTATATTACTAAGAGCATAATTTAAATATTATACTGGATTTTGGCAAGGATTCTATAATGAGAGTGAGTGCATTCAAAAGGTTAATTACATGTAAAAACAGTCCGATTCATTAATTTGAATGTACTGTACATTTTTGGGGCCTATATGTTAATATTTTAAAATAACATTTCCACAAGTGCTGCATTTTAACATCTGAATGCATTATGTATATATTATTAGAAGAGGAAAAGAAGAGACAATTGTGATTATTATGTCAATAACCAGAACACTTAGGAAGATTAATATATCAAGCAGTTTTTTGTAAGTACACCAGCTTTTATTACCTACAGGAAAGAACATATTTTCTAATTTCATTATTATGCAATCTGAAAAATTTTAGAAGAAGCAATATATAAATATTTGATTATATCTTATTAAATTCCGTAAGAAAAAGAAGTCATCAACACATGACCCTAATTGCCTCTTTCTGAGTGTGAAAAACATTCTTTATGAAAATGCTTGGCAGTATAATTTATCAATTTAATCACATACATTTATGTATCTCTCCTGAGTGTATGTGAAATTGAGGCTAAATGAACATTTTATGATGTTAAATGCAGTTTTCCAAAGATCTACATTTCTTCGACAAACATGTAAAAGGCTGTTAATTTGGATAGATACTATTCTGTCCATATCTAAGGATTTATGAAATTTGAGTTTTAACTTAAAGAAATCAAACAGATTTGTACATTTAAATTGCACCAGTATTAATTTTCAAAAATCTCTAATAAAAAATGTAAAGGTTTTGGTATATATTTTGTCTCCTTTCTCTTACAAAAGGAAAATTAAACTTGAATATGTTGTTATACATAAAATTTATTAACTATGATTAGTTTATATACCATATAACTTTCTGCCTCTCAAATACTATTACAATATTTTTATATATTGTGTAATATTGAATATTAGTGTAGTAATATATTTTGACATATATATAGATTTATGTATTTTTAAACTTATTGATAATCATAGAATATGTTTTTCAGGGCTTTTTGTGATTTTTAGTTTGAAAATCATTAGCATTTTAAGTGGTAACATTCATAGCAGGCAAATACTTCTCTGTGGAGTCTTTACAAAAAGAAATAAAACCTCAAACTAGAATTCATTTAACTTTATTTTAATAAATATGTTACATTTTATTTTTGTTGCTAACATCTGATGTAAATCATTTCTGAATCCAGGTAGTTGTTTTTGCACAGAAAAATAAAATGTCTTTTTTACTATTTTCATTTATATTCAAATATTGACATGAAGTAACTAAAGAACAAAACAGACTTTACTAATACATTGTTTTTTCTTTAGTTGCAGGCAATAGGTGGGGAGAGTCAAATAGAAGAAAAGTCAAAACAAAGGTTTTTTATTTCTTGATGTTTACAAATATGTAAAAACAAGAATTCATAGTGCCCATATATTTCCTAGTCTTTAGTGTCACATTTTGTTCAGCAAAGGTTTCTTACCTTTCTTTCATTGATGCCTTATTGAGAATCCTGAAATACTGCAGCTCACGTCTTTCCTCTTCATCTGCTTGCACTGTGCATATCAGACTGTAGGGGGCACTCCTCAGCTACCACAAAGACTTGTGATGCTAAGTCCTTTCTGTGGTCTGAGATGTATTTAATACCCATTATTTTATCAAGGCAGTTAGTTTAAAGAGAATTCATAGTTTATCTTTAAACCATATATAGCCATAATTGAGTAAAAAAAACCCCTCAGGTATCAAGAAAGTAGGCATTTGGATTCCCGGGGATGTTAATAAAAATTTACAAAACTGCATTGTACTTTGATAAATTAGTACTTTTCAGAGCTTCCTTCTTTCTGTTCTTTTCTTGGAGCTCAGAGTGGATTTTATAACACCCAAACTTTATTACTATACCTCAAGCACTGTTGTCTCTTTGCCTTGACGGCTCCCAGAGAGCAGAATGTAGAATGTAGAATGATCATGATTTACGTGTGGGAAGAGGAACCACAGAGTTTTTACATAGAATTACATGCCCTACACTGGAGCTTATAAGCCGCTTATCTTTAATGGGAGTGAAATATTGGATTTAAGATTGTGTGTGGCCTTCTCTCCTCCCTTTCTCTTCCCATCTCCGACAGAATCTACTTGGGTGGCAAGTCTAAGAACCCCTTCCATAATAATGACATAGTCCTCTCACATGGCTGTACCTTCCAGGTTCACATCAACTGTGGGTACAGCTGCTTTGGCTTTTTATAGATTTCCATAGTTACCTCTCAAAGTGACCAGTAACATTAACTGGTCTAACACATTGGAGGTTGACTTTCCACATTCAGCCTCTTACTTGCCTCTGCCAGCGCTTCTGTGTTCTGCTGTTACCATGGCTGTATTCTTCTCACCCTCTCTGAGACCAGCCCCTTCTCCTGGTCGGAGAGCCCCTTAACTCCTCTGGAGCCTGACGCTGGATGCCACTTCAGCATCGCTTTGTCCTTTTCCTTATCATCAAATGTTCCCTTTCTCTGCTGTAATTTCTCCTATCTCTCTTCACACCACTTCTCCCGCAGCCTCTCCATTTCTCAATCCATTTTATTTTGTATTTATTTATTTTTTTGAGACTGGCTCTCACTGTGTTGCCTGGGTTGGTCTTGAATTCCTGGGCTCAAGGGATTCTCCCACCTCAGTCTCCCAAGAAGCTGGGACTACAGGCGTGCCCCCACTGCATATGGCCATTTTTCAGTCCATTTTAGAACAGAACCTCTTAAAGGTCTGTTCGTATCTGATGTCCTAAGTTTTCCACCCCTCCTTCTTTCCTCTCCTGCTCCACTGTTGCTCTCTCCCTAAATCAAGGACCTCTACGATGCTAAACCTAACAGTCAGTCCTCAGCCCTCATCTTTTATTTGTTTATTTTTATTGCTGCCTCCTAGGTGATGACTTGGTCCTTATCTTAACTGACATAGAAGCAGCATTTCTTTTTTCTCATAGGGATTCACTCCCTCCTCTTTAAACGATTTCTTTCACATGGCTTCTGAATGCCCTCCTCCATCACCACCAGCTCTTGCTCCACTCCTTTCTTTGTTAGCTGTGTCTCAGCTTCTTTAAAAAAAATTTTTTTTTAAATGGAGATAGGGTCTTGTTGTGTTGCCCAGGCTGGTCTCGAACTCCTGAACTCAAGCAATCCTCCCACCTCAGCCTCCCAAGGTGTTGTGATTACAGGCATGAGCCACCACACCCAGCCTGTATTTCATCTTCTTGAACCCTGGGAAGCTCAGGTGTCTCTCTATACTCGCTTTCTAGGTTCATCTAATCACTCAGGCTTCACATACTGTCAATAGTCTAAAATATCCTAATTATTTATTTCCAGCCAGGACTACTTCCCTGAATTCCTGGCATGTGTATTTAACTTCTTTTTTTACTGGACATTGCTATTTGGATGTCCAACAGGCTTCTCAAACTCCATCCCAACCTCACAAAACAAGCCACTTCTTAACAGTCCTTCTCGTCTTAGAAAAGGAATTTTTTCAGGATAAAACCTCAGTTTTAAGACAGTAGTCCAAGCCACTGTCATCATTTCCTGTGTCCATTTCTCCCCACTCCAATACACCCTGACATCAAATCCATAGAGGTTAAATATCAGTTCATTTCAGTCCCTTTCTCAAAACCCGCCAGTGGCTCTCCAGCACAGAGTGACGGCCACAGTGCTGTTAATGACCCCCAGGCTCTACTGGATCTGACCTCCGAGATACCTCTTGGCTTCTTCCCTTACTCTTCTCCTTGGCTCACTTCATGCCAACCACATGTCCCACTTTGCACTTGCTTGATAATCCAGGAAAATCCCTGCCTCCAAGGGGTTTGTTATTTTCTCTTCCTAGAGTGCTCCTTTCCCTGATACCTCTATGACTCACGTCCTCACTTGCATAATAATATCTTTCCCCAAAGTCACCTATGTACTGGGTAGGAGTTCCCTGACCACTCTTCAAAATAGCAGTCCTTGGCCAGGTGCAGTAGCTCATGCCTGTAATCCCAGAACTTTGGGAGTCTGAGGCAGGTGGATTGCCTGAGATCAGGAGTTCGAGACAAGCCTGGCTAACATGGTGAAACCCCATCTCTACTAAAAATACAAAAAACAGCCAGGTGAGGTGGTGCATGCCTGTAGTCCTAGTTACCTGGGAGGCTGAGGCAGGAGAATCACCTGAATCCAGGAGGTAAAGGTTGCAGTGAGTGGAGATCCTGCCACTGCACTCCAGCCTGGGCAACAGAGCAATCCTCTTTTAAAAAAAAAAAAAAAAAAAAAAAAAAAAGGGCCAGGCGTGGTGGCTCAGCCTGTAATCCCAGCACTTTGGGAGGCCGAGGCGGGTGGATCACGAGGTCAAGAGATCGAGACCATCCTGGCCAACATGGTGAAACCCCAACTCTACTAAAAGAATGTAAAAGTTAGCTGGGTGTGGTGCTGTGCGCCTGTAGTCCCAGCTACTTGGGAGGCTGAGGTAGGAGAATTGCTTGAACCCGGGAGGCAGAGGGTGCAGTGAACAGTGATCACCCCACTGAACTCCAGCCTGGTGCCTGGCGACAGAGCAAGACTCCGTCTCAAAAAAAAAAAAAAAAAAAGTAGCCCTGTCCAGTGGACCCTGCATGTCATGCAAGTTTTTGGCTTCATTCTTTTCCATGGCAGTTACCACCCTCTGACTTGCCGTATCTTTCACCTGTGTATCATCTCTTGTGGCCATCCATGTATACGCTCCTAAGGGCAGGGGTTTTGTCTGTTGTGTCTGCTTTTGCTTTCCCAGTGCCCAGAGAGATAACTGACATGCAGTAGGCTCTTTGTAATAGTTGCTGAATGAACAAACCCATTTTAGCATATCATCTGTGAAAGGATTTATGTCCAAATTTGGAACTTGGCCAGGATTTGAATTGTATTTTGTCTTTTCTGTTTTAAAGCTTGCTTTCTGGTTTAAATTAGTTCCTCAAAGTGATGCTACTCTATCTTGTGTTCACAACCTTTGTTCTCTTCAACTGACTTTGAACACATTGGTCTTTTTGCCTTTAATTGATATTGGATGCAATAATTTTTGTTAAAAATTTTATTACAGCATTCAGCCAGACTGTTGAAGATGTAGTAATATTTAGAGGCTTCGCCATCCCCTCTCCTACTTTTTAATGGGATTAGGAATTTTGGGGAGTTTTAGGAAGGTCAGACTTCATGAGGAATTTTTAGTTAAGGATTATCTTTGGGTGTTTTCAAGGACTTCACTTTTGGTAAAATGGTAAAGCTCTCCTGACTTAAACTTTTTTGAGGAAAAACTGTCCTGTAAAAGGGTCCTAACTTTGGGGTATTTGGTGGAAGCAGTTGGCCACAGGCCAACTACTTGTTTTTCTTGCTCTTCTCTTCCTTCTCCCAATACCCCAATAACCTCAAAGTTATTGTGACCATATGGGATCACCTTTAACTATTTCATCTGTAAGAGTAACATGTTTAATTCTGTGCATCAAATTACACAAACAAATTGTGCTATCCTACCTAAGTAAATGTAGAAGAATCTGTGGAAAAAGAAATCAATATTTGTTTAGGTCAAGCATTGTGCTAGGCCTTTTTTATATATCAACTTATTTAATCTTTTCTTTTTCCTTTCTTTTCCTTTTTTTTTTTTTTTTTTTTTTTTTTTTTTGAGACAGGACGTAACACTATTGTCCAGGTTGGCGTGCAGTGGCGTGATCACGGCTCATGACAGCCTTGACATCCCTGGCTCAAGCAATTTCCCCACCTCAGCCTTCTGGATACCTGGGACTATAGATGCATGCCACCATGCCAGGCTAATTTTTTATATTTTTAGTAGAGATGGGGGTCTTGCCATGTTGTCCAGGCTGGTCTTGAACTCCTGCCTCAGCCTACCAAAATGCTGGGATTACAGGTGTGAGCCACCACGCTCAGCCTTAACACAAACATATTACACAAAGAAATTCAAATTTGGAGAAATTGTATAAGCTTCCCAAGTTCTTACATCCAGAAAGTTAGAATACTGGGGCTCAGAGATTTGTCGGTTTTTTAAACTTGTGTTTAAGAAGCTACTTAATTTACTATAAACTCTGAAATGCATTTTAGGCAGTTTTCAGAAAGTATTATGGGTGTATCCTAAATTTCCAGAAAGTATTACTGGTGTATCCTAAATTTTTAAACTTTCTTACATAGCTCTGTGAGATAATGATGATTATTTATTGCACTAGGTCCTTTTGTGATCTTTTGCAGACGTTAGCTTTAATTTTTACAATAACACCAAAACAATGGTGTTATCATCATTGCTATTTTACAGATAAGAAAACTGAGGCTTATAGAAGTTAAGTAATTTTCCTGATGTTAAAGATGCTGATACCTGGGCTTCTATGTAGAATGATACATCAGATTTTGGCATCTTTTACCCCCTCACCTCACTCATACATCTACTCAAATATCATCATATCAGAAGGGCTCCCTCTAAACACGCTGTCTAGAGAGTTCTATCTCAAGACAGTGACCTCTTAGTTTGCTTAAGTTTTCTTTAAAACCGATTACCACCTAGACATTATATGTCTATTTATTTGTTGTCTGCCTTTCCCAGCTAAGATAGAAGCTATGTAGGAAAGTTGTCCATTTTTGCTCTCTGCTGTATCAGCAATGCTAGGATACACAATAGTAGACACACAATAAATACCTGTCAAATGCTCATGAACCAGCATGGCACTGAAAATGTAGGTGGTAAAATCAGATTCATGCGGGTGAGTTGATAAAAGGAGATAAAGGATTCTTTGAACAAAAGCGAGTACAATAGAGAGGACTAGAATGGAATAGAACAGTCAGATAAGAAAGATTGAAGAAATGGGAGAATTTAGGTCTGCTTGAAAACAAACCTTGTGAGCAGTGAAAGGAAAGTATCCTTTTATCCTTTTACATAAGGCAATGGAATTTCTAGAAGAAAGTAATGCATAGTTTTTGCATCTAAGAAGGCTAATAAAACTCTCAGTATCTGTGGTTTAGAAAGGTGATATCAAAGTAAAGGAGAATTTAGAGCCTGGATTGATACTTTGTGGAATAAAGAAAAAAAGAGATTATTTTGGGGGCTACTTATAGGAAGAAGTTTTGGTTGTAGAGTTAATCTGAAGATATGTCAACTACTAAAGACTTGATGATATTTCTAATATTTTATACCTAAAGAAAATGGGACATTCACTTAGTTTTTAAGCAGTTACAGAAAATGAATAGTTCATGGAAAATAAAGGAGGTTTGCCATTGACATATTGTTTTGGGAGTTTTAGTCAACTACTTTGTTTATAAATTTTTCTTATGTCTGTGGGGTGG